TAATGAGGGCCGGATCTGACATAAATGAGACGTTGGTCGGGCCATGTGTGCCATGTAATGTAATGCCAGGTAGCGGAGATATAAACTTTATAAAGGACACAAACACAAAGGGGTTTTTTTTACTTAAAATAAAAACATGCTTAAAACATTAGCACTCTTGCAATATTTTATTTAACAGTATCTAATAACTGACACCTCTTGCTCTGAATCATTGCATCAAAATGTCTGTGCTGTTGCAATCTTGAGTATGCTGTTCTTGAGTATGCTGTTCAAGTGTGTATCTGTAAGCTGCAAACCTACTTTTGATTTATTGACATTCACCACAGAAATCTCATGCTCAGAGTTCTGAGTCTAACACCCAGGTTAAAACATGAAATGGCTGAGTGATTAAGAGAGTCTGGCGAAGCAAGCTATGATGCAGCAGCAGCAGAACTGGAAGCAGGAGATGGCCAGTTCTACTGCGAGCCTGATAGAAGCCCTTCAGGGGCCCCATCCGGCCCCTGGGCTGCATGTTTGACACGCTTGGTCTAGATGGCCTGTATGGCCCCTTCCAACTCTATGATTCAACTGGCTGTGCCTAGCACCACATGCTTAGGCACTTTACTTCTGAGTACAACTTACCCCTGATTGGTCTGGAAAACAAGAGCTCATTATACATCAATGAATCCAATTCACTCAGCCGTTAACTTCTATGCTGTATGCAAATGTATCTAACAGAGCTCCAATGCTATTCTTAAAAAAAGAAGAGCAGTTTTGGGAGATGTTGGGCTTGCATATACACAGAGGCCCCAAGGAACCAGCACTTCCTTGCCCCTTCTTTATTTCCCCGACTTCCCTCTGTTTAATATAGATTGTAGGTGGCCAAAACACACAATTTTGTCTTCCTACTATGATAGCGGTAACAACATCCACACACACACACACACACACAAGACCCTTTTGCATAGGGCTGGCTGTAAAAGTTATACAGTGTGAAAGCAACTAGGTGCCTTCTCCAAAAGGAAGACTGCAACCCAAAGAGACAAACCCAGCTGTGCATTACAAAGACACAACCCTTCCGGGGCCGAGTCTGATGCAGCGCATTGGTCTGATCTCTGTGGCGCAGCTGTAAGCGTGACACAGCCTTAGAGCAAAGCACACCTATAAGGCAAATGCACCACTCCTGGAAGAGAGTCAGAGACTCGTTGCTGCCTCCTTACCTTTTTCTTGACAGCCAGTGATTGATCGGTGGCCAAGACCACCAGCAGCTTTTGCAAAGCGCCACCATCCACGGCTGCTACTTGCACTCGGGGGTTGCTGAGAAAAAGAGGGGAAATTAATTCATTAGGCTTGAAGACTCATCGATGTCCTTTCAACTATGCTGCTAAGGACTCTGCAGAAGGCAACTGCGGAGAGGGGGTGGGGGGGAGGTGGTTTGTAACGATTTTAACAACCCTGCGAGGTTTTCAAAGCGAGCAGGAAGCCCTTGGGAGAGACTGCACAGCCGAACAGAACGCCACTTCGATTTTTGCCTCAAGAGTCGCCATCTGCTGGTGAAATGGAAGTCTACTTCTCCGCATACAAAAGAAAGCAAGCAGGAACCTCTAAGCGAAAACAAGAAATCGGACAGCTCTGGCTTGCTCTCTCGTTTACTGCAAAGCTTTTTTGATTTCCAGAGCAAGGTTTTGATCGTCCTGGTATTGCAGTGCAAGATGGAATGGGTTTCTCAACAGATCAAAGGTGCTTCTGGCACAAGAACGTACCCTCGAGAAGGTAGAGAGAACATATTATACCCGGATCTAGGACTGTCACCCAAGACTACAGGTATGCCTGCTCTGAACAAGTCCAAAGCCGCTGAGCTTGCGATAGAACCAATGCAGGACTATCTCACATGTGGCCTTTGCCAAATAAATACATGGTTAGGCACCTAGCAAGTATTTTTATCCTAGGACAGAACACACACGCCACGTTCCTATTACAGGAAGTTGCTTCCTGTGAGAGCCCCTGTATGGCGAAGGCCAATATGAAACGGTAGTGTTACTAACCCACAACGGAGTGCCAAGCCGGATCAATAAACACGAGTCATTCACACCTCCGTCTAGTTCTGCTGAGTCATCCTGGAAACCACCAAGCTTCCATTCGGAAGCTGAGTCATCCAGGAAACTGCCAAGCCTGCACTCTCTTGGAGAATAAAAGCTACATGCTGAGATGATATGTATGTATGTGGCTTTTGGACCTCTGGTCTACCCACTCTCAAGTTCACTGACTACCACTGGCGGGGCCAACATCTGCTTTCCTATCACTGTACAGCTTTCCCCGCCTACAATATCCCTCGATCGGTCAGTCTACGATTGAAAATTCTCAGTATTCCTCCTCAGCCAAGCATCTTCATGATTATCTAAAACAGCTCATGAGAAAATTCAGAATGATTTTAAAGTGTCGGTCAACTGCAGTCTGCTGATTGGATTGGAGGCCTTCACGAACGTTTGGTGAGGGTCGCAAATGACAGCCAAGCTGATAGGAATGATGCGATAGCCCACTGTTTCGGGGTCAGCTCTGGTACAAAAGTAAAGGAACGAGAACATCTGTAAATAGAGGACAGCAATCGCGTTCTTAAGGCGTGCACCCAGGTGCTTTTGTCTTTGAGTTTTTCAGAGGGTCACTGTATATGTTCCAGTGCCAGTCTGTTATAAGTCTCACTAATTATTACATACTGAAAATGTAATAAAAGGCTGCTGCACTCGCTATTAGATATAATCCCACACCAATCCTTCCCACCCTTTGGCGGATGTTCATCATTCTCCATGCTCTGCACCTTCCTCCACCAGGAAAACACTGGAAGAGCCAGGAGGTAGGGCGAGCGACCCCGTCACGTTATTCCGCCGCTCCCAGCCAAAAGCAGAGGGCAACGGGAGCTGCACAGCTCCACCCACTCTCTAGATGCCTCATAGTCCTCTTCAGCTGTACTGAGGAATTGCTTTTCACCAGTGATCTCCAGCATGGTGACCTATGGACCTATGTGCCCACCGCAGTGTTTCCTGGTACCCACTTCCTTCTTGCCCAAAGCATCTCCCGCCCCCCCAGCAAAATCCCAGTTCTGGCTTTTCTCTACTTCCTCACTGGATCAGGAGTTGCTTCAGACAAGTCTAGGAAACATGAAGGAGAAGAAGGAGGGGAAGAGGAAGAGGAGGAGGAGATTGGATTTATACCCCACCCTTCATTCGGAGTCTCAGAGCGGCTTACAATCTCCTTTCCCTTCCTCTCCGACAACAGACACCCTGTGAGGTAGGTGGGACTGAGAGAGCTCTGACAGAAACTGCTCTTTTCAAGAACACCTCTGAAAGACCCATGGCTTGCCCAAGGTCATCCAGCAGCTGTGACTGGAGGAGTGGGGAACCAAACCCGCAGGGATTTTTTTACAGAAAAAGCCCAGCAGGAACTCATTAGCATAATAGGCCACACCCACCAGCACAAACTTATTAGCATATTAGGTCACACACACCCATGCCTTCCCTTGGCTTGCCTGGGCGCCCTGATCCTTCCAGGCCTCCCCTGGCCGGCCCGCCTCAGAGTCACTGGGTGGGGGGGTCGCTCTCCAGGCCTTCCCTCTGTAGCCACGCACTCAGAGGTTTTGGCTGTAGTAGGCGTGGCCAACTCTGAAGCCAGCCGGAACTCCGTTCCTGTGCGTTCCTGCCCAAAAATAGCCTTGCAAACACGGTTCTCCCAGATTAGAGTCCGCGCACTTAACCACTACACCAAACTGGCTCCCAACTCTAGGTATGAAGGGAGTATCCATTTGGAAACAGCTACCTCCCTCATGCCCTGACCTGGATGGCTTGGCCTAGCCCCATCTCGTCCGATCTCAGAAGCTAAGCAGGGTTGTCTCTGGTTGGTACTTGCATGGGAGATGAACAAGGCAGTCCAGAGTTGCCACACAGAGGCAGGCACTGGCAAACCACCTTTGATTGCCTCTCGCCTTGAAAACCCTACAGGGTCGCCGGAAGTCAGCTGCGACTTGATGGCCCTTTCTTCCACACCGTCTCCATCACAGGATGATGCTTGGCTTACTGACACTATTTGATTTATATCCCGCCCTACCCGCATAGCAGGCTCAGGGTGGGTTCCATCATACCAAATAACAATACAAATAACAATTAAGCCCAACTAAAATACACCAGAATTAAAATACAAATTGTAAATTCCGGTACTCCGGAGCCTCAGCAGATGAGGTCTACCACAAGTTGGGGTTCCAAATGGTTATTCAGATCTGGGTTACTGGAGGGGAGGCCCAATAAGGTGTGGCCGCCTCAGCTAAAAGCCTGGCGAAAGAGCTCCGTCTTGCAGGCCCTGAGGAACTGTAACGGGTCCTGTAGGGCCCTGATCTCATATGGGAGCTCATTCCACCAGGTAGGGGCCACGGCCGAGAAAGCCCTGGCTGTATTTGAGGCAAGGCAAAAGGGAGCGGTGGCGCAGGCAGTAAGTGCAGCCTGCAGTAACATCTGGCCGAACAGCTTCGGCTGTTCGAGCCCCACCACTGCCGGAGTGAGCTCCCGGTCTACGTCCCAGCTCCCGCCCACCCAGCGGCTCGAAAGCCTGTTAAGGGCGATTAGATAAATGGGTACCTGCTAATAGAGCGGGGGGGGGGGGCACCCGTCCCTTGAGTAGCGGCGGCGGTGAACGGCGGCAGCGGAAAGAATATGGCGGTGGCTGGTGAGGCAAAAGGTGAACGAAGGCGGCTGGACCAACAAGCGCGGAGGCGAAGTGATGCAGGCCGGAGCCTACCTGGACGGAGGCCGCGAGCATGCGCGGAAGTGCGAGTGGTCCAGGCCCGGAAATGAATTTGCAACAGCCGGAAGGAGGAACCTCAAAGACCAGCGCTGGAGTGGATGCCGCCGGACTACCTCCCGCAAGGCAGTAACAACAAAGATCCGCTACACAGAAAGGGTGCCTGGTGGGCTTGTCACGTCCCCTACATGTATGTGGCCCTAGGTTTAGGATTGTATGAATTGGAACATGTAAGCTGCTCAGAGCCCTTCAGGGGTGAGCGGGATACAAATTGAAATATAAATAAATAAATAAATAAGGCGGACATCCCTGGGGCTAGATTCGCAGATCGTAGTTAGTACTTGCATGGGAGACGACCCACGGCTTGGAACTTCCTAGCACTGTGCGACTGGCCCCCACGGAAGCCATTTGATGGTTGGCCTCACTCTGCTCCACCTTGGCCGTTATTTCGCAGCCATGCCCACTGCCTCTTCTCAAAATCCATCAGTGCCCACAGTTTAGGGACCCCTGACTCTATGCGGCTAGTTGAGTACTCTAAGTAGACAGAATCACAGCTTCCTTTGTGCCATGGGCAGTTTTCCTCTGGGAGGAGAATTCTCCTGAGAAGCTTTCACCGAGGCCTCTGTGGAAAAGCGTAATGCCAGCAAAGGCAGAAGGTGAGCATGTAGGACCTCCCTGAACAGGAAACACAAAAAACCCTCCCTCTGCAATCTGGGGCTTCCTGTAAGACGTGGCAGACTTTCCCAATTATTTTCAAAAGTGAAAGGGCTTTGTCGGAGAGAGGGACATCTGGGGGGAAAAAATCAGAGTGCGGAGGAGCCGGCGTGCCTTTTAATTTAGCTTTCCAATGCCAACTAATACATGATCTTAATATTGTAGTGCAATAAACATTTCAGGGTGGATGCCGTGGAAATGACAGATGGGAGCTTAAAAACCGTTGGTATAAATCAGCGCCGCGATGGGGAAGCGGAATATGACTAATATAACACGGGCCAACGGCAAATACAGGGTAGCACATGAGGGGTAAATGAGGCATCCTGGCCACACTTCTCAAGTGTCCTTACGTGACTCGGCGGAACAGCCTTCCACAGGTGCGTCTTTCGCAAGATGGATCCTCTCTCGGCACTGTCTCCTCCCTGGAGCTTCACTTACACAGATTAATGGAATAATCGGCTCACTTTATGTCACAGCTGTTCCTTATTTTTCTTTAATTAGAGTTTTCATTTCCCACTTCCCCCCCCCCTTGCTCTTCTGTTTCTATTAGCACGGCAATTTATTTAAACAATTATCCATTGCTGCACACAGCCTCTCTTCTAGGGCCAGGCTTCGGCTCAGAGAGAATAGGTGTTTGCATCTGAAATTTGTCACGCCTTGGCTTTTTCGGGAAGGATTAGACACGGGCAAATCTCCGCACAAAAACGATCTGGGTTTGGAAGATTCGGGACTTGGGCCAAAGCAAAGGATGTGTTTTGAATGCAGAATTAAATTTCTACAGGAGCAGGATCCCAGAGGGGTAGGTGTGCTAGCCCAGT